TTTTGCTGAACTGGGGATTGAACTGAGGCCCTTGCGCTTGCCAGGGAAGCGCCTATTCTATTGAGCCATCTCCCTGGCCCTAGACCTTATATTAAAATAAATAAAATTTTAAAGGAATCAGGATATAGCTCACTGCAAAAGCCCTGTGTTCAATCCCCATACTGAAGAAGGAAAAAAAGTCACTGGCATAAGTCTTCCTCCCAGAACTTTTGAATTCAAATCAGACTCTTCCTATAGTTTCTATAACTTTTCTCTCAAAATACAGAAGGGGAAAACTACTTGCAGAAAAGGGCAGCTAGATATGAAAATCAATTCACCAACTGGCGTGAGGTTGTTCTGTCTGTGAGAATAATAAAAGTGTTAATTAAAAAGCATAATCAAGGACAAGAATCAGTCACAACATGGCCAGCAACAAGACCTTTGAAATATACTCCTCCTCTTGACATTGTGGACTTGAAATGTGACATGGGCTAAATATAAGACACCACCCAAAGACACCAACATCCACTTCAGGAATACTGAGGTCAACACCAAGTGTTAAAACAGAAATAAAACCTGCTGGAGGAAACTTTGAAGGAAAAAAAAAAAGATTCTTACAGCATGAAAAAAAAAATTTAAAAAAATTTTAAAAATTAAAATTAAAATTTTAAAAAAACCTGCTGGAGGATAAAATAAGTAAAATTCTTGAAGTCATAGGCATAGGCAAGGACAATATATACAGAACCCCACTTGCAAGGAAATAGTACCAAGAATCATATTAATTAAATGAAATCTTATTTACACGACAACAACAGAGTGAAAATATAATCTATAGAATGGGAAAAAAATTTCACCAGCTATTCCTCACACAGAGGACTAATATCTGGGATATATAAAGAATTCAAAAAATTAGAGACCCCAAAATAAAAGACCTAATCAAAAAGTAGAAAAGTAAAATAGGTACTTCACAGAAAAAAAGAAGCACAAATGGCTAATACATGAAAAAAATATTCAACGCTGCTGGAGATTAAGAAAAATGCAAATTAAAACAACACTGAGATTCCATATTACCCCATCATCAAAAAATCAAGTAACAAACATTGGTGAGACTGCAAAGAAAAAGAAACTCTTCTACATTGTTGGTGGGAATGTAAGCTATGGAAATAAATTCCATTTGACCCAGCTATTCTCTTTTTTTTTTTCAAAGTTTTATTGATAAACAGATAGCAATGAGACAGCTTCAAATCAAATCGGAAGTACAGTTTCAACAAATAATACACTGCATATATTCTTCTTAGTGGTTAATTGCTGTACAAGATGCGGACTTGTGATCCTATTTACAAACACCATTAGAACAAATCATTCTATTCATTAAGAGAATGCAACTATATATCTATCCCAACCTCTTTGAATACACAGATACAAAATGGACATTCATCGGTATACCCCATTTTTCTAAGTTCCGTTATTGAATATTATAGGTGTGTAAACTCAGCAAAATATTCTAAAAGAGTCCAGTAGCCCATAATAGCATTGGGTCTTCTGTTTAACTGGCAATGTCAGAAATTATTGACCTGAGTCCCCCACAGCTCAACTTAACAGCATGGCTTTATTTCTTATATTTCGACTTCATACTTTTCTACTGGATGGTTAAGACCAAGGTAAAGCAGGACCTATGCAACAAGCTATTCTCTTTTAGGTATTTTCCCAAAAGAGTTAAAGACATCATGTAACAGTAATATATGCATACCCATGTTTATAGCATCACAATTCATAATAGCTAAATCTTGGAAGCAGCCTCTATGTCCATGAATGGATGATGGATAAAGAAAATGTGGTATTTACACTTAATGGAGTACTACCCTGCAACAAAGAAGGATAAACTAAGTCATTTGTAGGAAAATGGATATACCTTGACACCTTATAAAGTAAAATAAATCAGACACACAAGCTTAAATATTCCATGTTTTTTATATGAAAAATCTACAATACAAATAAAGGGTAAAAGATAATAGGAGGGCTGGTGAGATGGCTCAGTGGTCTAAAGCACCTACTTGGAACAAACTTAGCAAAACACATGGACCACGGTTCAATCCCCCAGCACCACATGCCAGCCAGCACCGCCCCCTGGTGGGCTGAGCTGGCCCCACACACACACACACACACACACACACATAAATAAAATAATTAAAAAAAAAAAAAAGATAATAGGAAGCAAGGAGATGTTCCTCACATAATAAAGGGATCAAAAGATGGAGGTAGGGGAAGAACAAAAGGCCAGAGAAAAGAAAAAGGAATTAAAATGTGTTATGTACCAACTCCCCACAAGAATGTAAACATTATATACTGCAAACATATACTAATTTTTTAAAAACCTTATGGTAACAGGTATATCTTCTACATAGAAAATAGGCCATGACAAATATATAGAAAAAGGACAATATATTATCAAGAAGATGAAAAGTGATTCTTGAAGGAGAAAAATTATGACTATTATAATGGTTTGTGGTCAAAGGGACACAATATACAGATGTACAGTATATCTGTAGTATTGAAATACCATAAGGAATTCAGGCATGGTAGAAGATGTTTGTAAGCCCAACACTTGGGAGGCTGAACCAGAATGATTACTCTGAGCTCATGACCAGCCTAGACTATATAGTAAGTTCAAGACCAAAGACATATCAAAACCCTGTCTCAATGAAACA